TGTTTTTGTGAAATTTGAAAAGTGATATTTGGAAGTCGATAGAGGGCTATGGTGGAAAAGGAAATATCTTCCGTTAAAATCGGGAAAGAAGCTTTCTGAGAAACTGCCCTGTGTTCTGTTAACACATTTCACCAAGTTACAGCTTTCCACAAAAGAAATCTTTGGCTAAGATTGTTCTTGTGGGATTTGCAAAGTGATATTTGGAAGCCCATAGGGGGCTTGGTGAGAAAGGAAATATCTTCCGTTAAAAACTGAAAAGAAGCTTTCTGAGAAACTGCTTTGTGTTCTGTTAATTCATCTCAAAGAGTTACACCTTTCCCCTCGAGAAGCCTTTCGTTAAGACTTTTCTTGTGGAATATGCAAAGTGATATTTGGAAGCCCATAGAGAGCTATGGTTAAAAAGAAAATATCTTCAGTTAAAAACTGGAACGAAGCTTTCTGATAAACAGCTTTGTGTTCTGTTAATTCATCTCACAGAGTTACAGCTTTCCCTTCAAGAAGCCTTCCGCTAAGGCAGTTCTTGTAAAATTGGCAAGGTGATATGTGGAAGCCCGTAGAGGGCTATGGTGAAAAGGAAATATATTCAGTTAAAGAATGGAAAGTAGCTTTCTGAGAAACTGCTTTGTGTTCTGTTAATTCATCTAACAGAGTTACAGCTTTCCCCTCAAGAAACCTTGGGCAAAGACTGTTCTTTTGGAATTTGCAAAGTGATATTTGGCAGCACGTAAAGGGCTATGGTGAAAAAGGAAATATCTTCTGTTAAAAACTGGAAAGAAGCTTTCTGAGAAACTGCTTTGTGTTCTGTTAATTCATCTCACAGAGTTACAGCTTTCCCTTCAAAAAGCCTTTCGCTACGGCTGTTCTTGTGGAATTTTTAAAGTGATATTTGGAAGCCCATAGAGGGCTACGGTGGAAAAGGAGATATCTTCCGTTAAAAATTTGTAAGAAGCTGTGTGAGAAATTGCTTTGTGTTCTGTTAATTCATCTCACAGAGGTACAGTTTTCCCTCAAGAAGCCTTTCGCAAAGGCTGTTCTTGTGGAATTTGCAAAGTGATATTTGGATGCCCTTAGAGGGCTATTTTGAAAAAGGAAATATCTTAAGTTAAAAACTGGAAAGAAGCTGTCTGAGAAACTGCTTTGTGTTCTGTTAATTCATCTCACAGAGTTACAGCTATCCCCTCAAAAGCCTTTTGCTACGACTGTTTTTGTAGAATTTGCAATGTGATATTTGTAAGCCCATAGAGAGCTATGGTGAAAAAGGAAATATCTTCCGTTAAAAACGGGAAAGAAGCTTCCTGAGAAACTGCTTTGTATTCTGTTAATTCATCTCACAGAGTTACAGATTTCCCCTGAAGAAACCTTTCGCTAAGACTGTTCTTGTGGAATTTGCAAAGTGATATTTGGAAGCCCATAGAGGGCTATAGTGAAAAAGGAAATATCTTCTGTTAAAAACTGGAAAGAAACCTTCTGAGAATCTGCTTTGTGTTCTGTGAATTCATCTCGCAGAGTTACAGCTTTCCTTAAACAAGCCTTTCGCTGAGGTTGTTCTTGCGGAACTTGCAAAGTGATATTTGGAAGCCCATAGAGGGCTATGGTGAAAAAGGAAATATCTTCAGTTAAAAACTGGAAAGAAGCTTTCTGAGAAACTGCTTTGTTTTCGGTTAATTCTTCTCAGAGAGTTACAGCTTTCCCCTCAAGAAGCCTTTCGCTAAGATTGTTCTTGTGGAATTTGCAAAGTGATATTTGGAATCCCTTAGAGGGCTACGGTGAAAAAGGAAATATCTTTCGTTAAAAACTGGAAAGAATCTTTCTGAGAAACGGCTTTGTGTTCTGTTAATTCATCTCAAAGAGTTACAGCTTTCACCTCAAAGAGGCTTTCGCTAAGACTGTTCATGTGTAATTTGCAAAGTGATATTTTGAAGCCCATAGAGGGCTGTGGTGAAAAGGGAAATATCTTCAGCTAAATACTGGAAAGAAGCTGTCTCAGAAACTACTTTGTGTTCTGTTAATTCATCTCACAGAGTTACTGCTTTCCCCTCAAGAAGCCTTTTGCTGAGACTGTTCTAGTGGAATTTCCAAAGTGATATTTGGAACCCCAAGAAGGCTATGGTGAAAAAGGAAATATTTTCAGGTAAAAACTGGAAAGAAGCTTTCTGAGAAACTTCTTTGTGTTCTGTTAATTCATCTCAAAGAGTTACAACTTTCCCTTCAAGAAGCCTTTCGCAGGGACTGTTCTTGTGGAATTTGCAAAGTGATATTTGGAAGGCCGTAGAGGTCTATGGTGAAAAAGGAAATATCTTCCGTTAAAAACTGAAAAGCAGCTTTCTGAGAAACTGCTTTGTGTTCTGTTAATTCATCTCACAGAGTTACAGGTTTCCCCTCAAGAAGTCTTTCGGTAAGACTGTTCTTGTGGAATTTGTAAAGTGATATTTGGAAGCCCATTGAGGGCTATGATGAAAAAGGAAATATCTTCCGTTAAAAACTGGAAATAGGTTTTCTGAGAAACTGCGTTGTGTTCTGTTACTTCATTTCACAGGGTTACAGCTTTCCTCTCAAGAAGCCTTTCCCTAAGACTGTTCTTGTGGAATTTGCAAAGAGATATTTGGAAGCTCTTAGAGTGCTATGGTGAAAAACGACATATCTTCCATTGAAAACTGGAAAGAATCTTTCTGCGAAACTGCCTTGTGTTCTTTTAGTTCATCTCACAGAGTACAGCTTTCCCCTCCGGAAGCCTTTCGATAAGACAGTTCTGGAGGAATTTGCAAGTGATATTAGAAGGCCATAGACTGCTATGGTGAAAAAGAAAATATCTTCCTTTAAAAACAGGAAAGAAGCTTTCTGAGAAACTGCTTTGTGTTCTTTAATTTATCTCACAGACTTACAGCTTTCCCTTCAAGAAGCCTTTCGATAAGA